AACGTTTCATTAAAGAAGAACCCGTCCAGAGGACCTATACAATTTTTTTCCTTTTGATTTTTTACCTGGATTACTGAGATGCATCAGGACATATATATGATATATTGTCGAAATATATATTTATAACATTTTCTTTTGTTATTTTATTTTATTTTTGTGTACCAAAAATACAGGGGGGGGGCAACCATACAGTGGCTGTTTACTCACCGGACTCAGAGAAGGAGATTTTTTTTCTTTGTCTTGTTAACCGTAACAATAAAAAGAAGACTTGGTCATCAGTTGCATGTTCAGGTTCTGATAAATCCATCTTTCTAATTTAACAACCAGCTTTTACTCTTGTCAGGGAGCAGATTGGTTTTTTTTTTCAGTGACATGTACAATCGGGAGCTTGCGCCGCACGTCCTTAAATATGTGTAGTAATAATGTCTCCACCAGAAAGTGCAACACAAAGGCTGAATCTTATACTTGAATATAGATCACTAGACTAAGCCTCGCCCATACGGTCCACTGGTAGCGTGACAGCATGGAGGAGCAGAAATGGAGACCAAACAGGGCAACAGCTTACAGCCCCCATAGAAACTAATAGATAAACAGCAGCTGAACTGGATCTGTTTCAAAAATTATTGGTCATGTTTTTACAATAAATTAATAACTATTTTAATTTCATTCAACAATCACGTAAAACAGCAGATATATACCTGTAGTGGTAATTTGGGTATATTAATTAGGAGAATTTGTAAATTATTAAAATTCATAAACTCATTTCCTCGTGGCACACCACTTCCCTTTTATTTTGTTATTATTACACAGGAAAGAGAAGAGAAAACTGTTAGCTTTATTATCATTCAGTCTCTATTAATTTATTACCCAAATTTAATAATGAGTTCTTTTCTTAGAAAAATCAATAATACCTTATCAAGACACAAAATTAGACATTAGCTTCTGTTGACATGCTCATCACATATAGTTTATTTACAGATTAAAATGTATTTACAGCTATGGCATGTATGAAATGATGACATTCTGAACCAGAAGAATATGGAAATATTTGAGCAATGAGTGTGTAAGAAAATTTGTATTCAATAAACTGAAGTCAATATTAGAAACACAATTGTTAAATAAAATGATTTGTAGAAGGAATTAAACTATACCACACCAAAATTCTGGATCTGAGTGAGGTTTATTGTCGCTAAAGCTGACAGGAAACCAACACTGCCGGAAAAACAGGAAKTTCATGTATTTATACACCTTCTTCAATGCCTGCGTTAGTCCCGTACTGACCTACGGCTGAATCACAGGCATTCAGACAAAATCCTCAGCTAATGTCTTCCCAATGTTTAATTATATGTTGTCACATATTTCGGACATGTAACTGAACCTATTTCAATCAAAATATAATAGATTAAACACTGTCAACATTACAAAAAGGAAAACCTAAGAATATAGTGTTGTGCTTTTAACAACAGTACCAACCTCTACTAACTTTAAATTTCTTCAAGTGAATAACAAAACAAACAAACAAATAAACAAACAACAAAATAAACACTAAAAGGAGTTTTGAGGCTGGAATGAGGGGAGATTTGCTTTAGCTGAGAATTTAACTAAGGGATCCTAGTTAAATTCGTTTAGGGAGAGAAAACATTTAGAATTATCAAGCTCATACGAAGATAAGAAATCAAATTAAACCTGAGCACCTTTTGTCACCAGAACAAATGTTCACTTTTWCCCTTTGTTTCTGCCATGTGGGTACCAGGAGGGAAGTCAGCAGAGAAGGTTATCTCTGGGGGTCGTTTCCCAGGTAGAACTCTTCATCCAAGCTGGATGACAGGCCACAGGGGTTTGCCTGTAAACTCGACTGGTCCCGGAGGTCAGAGAACRGGTAATTCTCTGGTGACGACGTAGTCTGGTCTCCTTCGGCTGCTACAAGGCTTGGTAATTTGATCTCGACTTCTTATGGGAAAAAAACGGACTAAAACGACGCATGAGTTAAAATTAGCTTATTGACTTCTATTAAAATCAAGCTCAGGTTGAGCCGACGAGGTAACATTAAACCCAGTTTCTAACGAAACGACATTAAACGCTGATGAGGAATCCGGCAAGATGGCGGAGGAGTAAGACGTGTGTCGCGTGGGCTCCCGCTCTGACTGTTCTGATTGTGGTTCTCTACTGAATGTCCTTGCTGTTTTGAGCATTTGGTCTGTCTGCACTCTACCCCTGAGTGATTCTTGCCTGGAAGAGTAGAAGAATGGCAACAAACTCGAGAAAAGGCCAACATTCTAGCTCTGCGACTGTTAGGCTTGACGCCGCCTCAGAGCTAACTGCAGCTAAAGCTAAAGACGGACCCTCAGCGCCCTCCTCTCCCTCCCGTAGTGAGGCGGACACACTCTCCTTGAAGTCTGACATTCTTGCCGCTATAAAAACGATCTCTCAGCTGTGATCAAATCTGAAATAAAAGCGGCTTTGGCTGAAGA